CGTGCAGCCCGGGCAGCCGGCCCCGCGCTCGGCCCGCAGCCGCAAGGCCCTGCGGCCCCGCGTTCTCGCGCCTTTCCCCACCTCCCTCCCACATCGGCCCTTCATCCATCCCTCTCTCCCGCAGTGCTCGCGCTCCAGGCCCGAAAGAAAAGGACCAAGGCCAAGAAGGACAAAGCCCAAAGGAAGTGAGTCTCGTACCCCCAACATCCCAACCCTTTGCGGGCGTCTCTTCGGGGACCTCCTCCCGGGTGGCGCGCCTGGGACGCGCACGGGGGTTTCGGGCGGCTCCCCCAACCCCACCCCGCCACATGGCTTCTGGGCTGCTGGGTGAGTGAGTCGCCCTCCGGGAACCATGTGGAAGGGTGCTGGGGCGCCAGGCCCGGGTCTTAGCAGCTCCCCGGGCCTGCTGGAAAGGACCGGAGCCTGCCGGGCACCGCTCCCCAACTCCACCGAGGAGGCCTAAGTGTGGGCCGGCGGCCGGGGCTGGTAATCATTACCTGCTCGTTTGTGAACTCTGCTCTCCCTTCCTTGCTCCGCAGCGTCTTAACTTGCCTCCTTCCCATGTCTGTCTGTCTGTCTGCACGCTAGGTCATCAGGACATTGTTGAATGAATTTTCCCTGTGTACTCTTGGTCCTGCCAACCCCACGCTCGCCTGGGTAGAGCAGGGCGGCCGGGGGGAGCCTTTCTCTCTCCCGGTTAGTGTTCGAGGCGCATCTCTGTCCTCTCAGCGTGCGGGCCGACTACGTTACATTCTGCACTACCTGCCGGCCAGTTATCAGGGCCTCAGCCGAATGGAGTTAGCGCATTTATGTGTAGAGACTAATTACAGCTGCCGTTTGGGTGATTCCGGCTCGGTGGACTGATTGCCACACTTTCCAATCTGATGTGTGGTGTGGTGTGGTGGGGGTGGGGGTGATGCGGAGAGTGCACAGCCTCATAGAACCCCCCCCACCCCCCCACCCCCGGGCAGAGGGCTTCAGCAAATCGTGGCCTTTGTTGTTGTTTTGAGACAGAGTCTCTCTGTGTTGCGTTGCCTGGAACTTTCCATGTAGACCAGGCTGGCCTCGAATTCACGGAGACTTGCTTGTCTCTTCCTCGAGAGTGCCGGGATTAAAATGCTTGCAGCAGCACCAAGCCAAGCAAGTGAGGTTGGAGTAGCGTTAAGATCGCTCTCATACATACTAACATTTAGTTGCAGAAGCTCCTCGAGGTCGTATTACAAAGTTCTCTGCCCAACGCTTGATTTCAGGCGCGTTATTTTCTGTGGTTTTCCACTCATCTGATATTTTGTGCTGTGCACCATCCAGTTGAGTCTGCACTGAGCTAACACAAATTAGAGGTCTTCCTAGGTCACCTTGCTGAATGACAGTTCCAGATTGGGTGGGTTGGGTGTGTTGTTTTTGGAGGCTCTCTAATGTTTGGAAAGGACTCGAAATGACTTCTTCGAGTCGTACCAGAGGTAAGTGACTGTCACCTCTTGCTCCATTTTCTGTTGTGTGTCTTAGGAAATTTTTTTTTTGTTTTGTAAGCACTTGACCGAGGTGTGGGCAGATGTGCTCAGGTTCTTGTGTTAATTTCTCTAGGTGTTTTGTTTTCAAGACAGGGTTTCTCTGTAACAATCCTAACTGTCCTGGAACTTGTTTTGTAGACCAGGCTGGCCCCAGAGATCTGCCTGCCTCTGCCTCCCGAGTGCTGGGATTAAAGGCGTGCTCCAGCCAGAACTAGTTTTTAATCTCACATTAATTGGTTAATAGAAACAGCAAGGGGCTAACCTAGCTCTTTTTTTTTTTTAATCTTGTGACCTTGTAGGAATAGCTGTGGTGATATTTTATTTGTGCTGAAATGTGATTTTTTTTTTAAATGCCGAATGCTGTTTATTTAAGGAGGGAAGAGGTCTTAAATACAGGCTTACAGCACAATGTTTTACAATCTTGCATCTAAGCTGTTAATGCCCGGTTTTTTTTTTTTTGTTTTTGGTTTTTTCCAGACAGGGTTTCTCTGTATAGCTTTGTGCCTTTCCTGGATCTTGCTCTGTAGACCAGGCTGGCCTTGAACTCACAAAGATCCGCCTGGCTCTGCCTCCCGAGTGCTGGGATTAAAGGCGTGCGCCACTACTGCCCAGCTGTTAATGCCCATTATGCAGGATACATAGACAAGGAACTTCCCTTAAGCATTCAGGAGGGTCGAACCCTGCAGGGAATTAGCATAGGGAGGATATCAAGGTCAGCAAGCAAAGCAACAGTTACCCAAAACGGGGGCGGGCCCTACAGGTCCCCCTTTTACTAAAAAATGAGCTTCTGACTTAGGTTGCACGTCAGCAGGTCACCTTACCCGTCATGGAGACGCCTGCCCAGGCCACACAGGTGCTCTGTCTTAGGTTCTAACCCAGCTCTTGTATGCAGTTGGGATTTCAGCACCTGTTGGGGAAGCCATGTGAATGTGTTTTATAATATGTTTTCTGATGGAAGGAGGAAATTATTTTATTAACCATTTAAAAGAGTTCTTTTTTCCCCTCTCTCATTTTGTTTTGGTTTTTCTCTGAGTGGCCCTGACTGTCCTGGGACTCACTCTGTAGACCAAGCTGGCTGAACTCAGAAATCTGCTTCCCTAGTGCTGGGATTAGAGGCATTCAACACCACCCTCCGTTTCAGAGGGTTTTGAATCGAGTCTCACTATGTAGCCTAAGCTGGTCTTGAACTTTCAGTGATCCTACTGCCTCAGCCTCCAGAATGATAGGATTACTGATCCTGTGCCATCATGCCTAGCTAGCTAATCAACTGTTTGGTTTGTTTTTAGACGTTATATCTCCAGGCCACCTGTCCTGTGTAAGACATGGAATTGTATTTTGATATTAGGGTGGATCACACTGTCATTTGGCGGGTGAATGTGTGTGGATGGTCACATACTTAGCAGATAATTAATACTGCAGATTGTCTAGGTTGAACATGCAGTGTGTGTGTATAAACATTTGCTTGTGTGTGTGTGGGGGGGGTGTGCACGTGTGCCGCTCGAGTGCAAGGGCTGTGGTGTGAATGTGGGTCAGAGGCCAACTTTTAGAGGTTGGTTCTCTCCTCACCGTGTAGATTGCAGGGGTTGGACTTGGGTCTTCAGGCCTGGTGTACCATTAAGCCGTCTCACCTGCCCTGCATGTCCTTGTTTTCAGAAGCAGGCTTTTAAAACTTTGTGTTAAGCTACTCTTCTGCTCACTACTGCAGGTAACTTATCGTTGTCTGTGTTCTTAATTATTTCTGCGCTTGCCTATTGTGCTATTGCAGAATAAAGAGCTGGCAGTTATTTGACTGATCATAACTCTCCGTACCTCTTGTTTCTCCAGCCTCTTTTCAAATAGTGGAAAAGTCTGATTAACTTGGTTAGAGTCCTGTGTCAGGAGCTGCTCCTGGTCCAGGTAACTGGACCTTGTTTCTCTGTACTCCTGACACCTTGGCTCTTTGGCAGCTCTAAGCTGCCAGGAAGCTGTTGGGAAGGCTTGCCACAGTTTGTCTTCCGAGTAAGGCAGATCTAATTTGCATTCTAATTTGCGTGCAGGCGGACCTTGGACAGTTAGTCTTACATACCTTTATGACCAGTAGCTCAACCGTAGTGAAAGATGGTCAGGACTGAACATTACAAAAAGTAAGTGTTCACCACGTGTACAGTCTTAGCATCTTCTCAGTATTGTGTAGGCATGATGTGGTACTGAAGGAATGGATTGTCCGGATGCTGTGGAGTTGTGTAAAACTAGAACCCAGGCACTTGGGGCAGTGTGTCATGGTCATGGAGCTGGCTGCCAGGGCTCCAGTCTCCAGAGCACAGTCCCTGTGCATCCTTTGGGTCTTTGTGCTGAAGGGTTATGGGAAGGTAAACTTCCTTGAACAATGCCTTCTCCACCCTACTCTTTTAGAGCTGCACAGCTCAGATGGGACTGGGGTCTGGCATACTCTGTGGCCACAGATCTAGATGGCAATTCCCTGCTGTGTTGGGGACAAAGAAATAAAGCCTGAGGGGAGGAGCTTGTGAGTGAACCTGTGTATTACCTCTGAATACCATGATGCACCTTCTCTCTGTGAGCACTGGATTCTGGTGTGTGCAAGAGGGCTTGCAGGCCTTTCTCGGGTTGCCATAAGCTTTTAGGCTCCAGTTATTGGTTGTTTACAAATGGTTTGGAGCCCAGGAGCAAGAGTGGACTTCCCACCTGTTTCGTTCTGTAACTTGGGAGGTTAGTTGTGACAGCCATTTCCACTGTGCTGGGAGTTAGGTAACCTTATAGGTGCTGTGCAGGTCTGGTTGTGTGGTTGAATAACCTTGTAGGTGTTGTGCAGGTCTGGTTGTGTGATTGAATAACCTTTTAGGTGTTGTGCAGGTCTGGTTGTGTGGTTGAGCTGGGGAAATGCTTATGCTTCATCTAGTACTCTAAGCTGGGAAGGGGATACTGTTTTTATCTGTTTTCCATAAATTAAATTCTTTTGTTTTTGTTTTTTTTTTCCTTTTTTTTCGAGACAGGGTTTCTCTGTGTAGCTTTGCACCTTTCCTGGAACTCACTTGGTAGCCCATGCTGGCCTCGAACTCACAGAGATCCACCTGGCTCTGCCTCCCGAGTGCTGGGATTAAAGGCGTGCGCCACCACCGCCCGGCTGTTTTCCATAAATTAAATTCTTACATTGAAAATTTATAAGGGGAAAATGTGCAAAAAGTTCCTAACACTGTCATCTAGAAAACAGAGGCAGTATACCTGACCTTGGAACTTAGTTCTTTATTAGTTCATACAATTAGTTCATACAGAAGGGAAGCATGCTCCCTTCTGGTAGTTTTTAAGATTGGCTTTCTTCACCAGATTTTGGATGTGTTTCTATGTCGAGACACAAGGAGTAGCCTCACTGAGTGTTTCAGTACGTGGGCTACCATAGTTGAGTGCCTGTTAACAAACATAAACTTTATTTATCTACTTACTTATTTGTGGTTTTTCCAGTTTCTCTGTGTAGCCCTGGCTGTCATGCAACTCACTCTGTAGACCAGGCTGGCCTCAAATTCAGATCCGCCTGCCTCTGCCTCCTGAGTCCTGGGATTAAAGGTGTGCACCACTACTACCTGGCAAAAACATAAACTTTATAAGACCCCAAAGTGGAATCATTAGGCATGCTTTCCCCCAGTTAACATCATGAGTAGTTTTTGCATATATTATCTCTG